AAAATACTTTACCCAGGTTATATGAAGGTTCTTTTATGATAAAAAGCAGGCAACTGTTAACCTGTCTTTCAGAGCTTTAGTGAAGGGAGAGGGGCTTTCCAAATACTCTCTGTGGTTCCTTTTTACCATATAATAATAAATTTTACTCCAAAGTATATCTCTTCCTTATTTGTCAGGGCATTCAAAGTTAACTTAGTGCTCAAATACCAGATCTCATCCCAAGTGCCTAAAAACATATTTTTTTGTTCTTCTTGACTGATTTTGTTTTGTATGTATTCAATTTTTTAAACTATTCACAATTGATTTTTAGTTGGTGTGACATGAATTCTAAAATAAATTAGTCTTATTAGCATTCTTTCCCATACATTAATTTATATTGATGTTCTATATTACATTAATATGAACCTCCACGAACGATATTTATTTGCCAGTGTATAAACAACCTTAATATTTTTTTTAATTCCAGAATAATACATTATAATATGATACCATGTTATTGCTAACAAAAGGAAAAATTAACATATGATTAATAAGTTACAGAAATATATATAGTTTATTTTCATTAAAAAACTACTATCCTATATTCGGAATACAAAGTATGTTTTACTTACTCAGACTATTCAGTTAAATAATCTGTCACATTTTCCAGACATTCTGGATAAGTGAGGATTTTTCACTTTGTTTTAAACTACCTCATGCAATCTTTTAGGATTTTTATTGTAGATGAGAATAACTAGAAAAACACAAATGCCCAAGCCCCACAGCATACCTGGTGAACCATTTGCTGCAGCTTTGGGAGTAGGTGATTCTACTGCCCACCATGAAAAGCTAAAAACCACTACAATTGGTATATTCTCCTCTAGTTAGTTAAAAGCCTACTTACCAATTTAAATAAGGCCTCTTCCATGGTCATATTTAAAATTGGCTTTGTTTATTTTATACTTAGACAATTTTAATATTACTTTGTGGGATATACACACAGATTATAAATTATCAAGTTCAAATAATATAATGCTCAAAAAGCAAATTTAGTTTAAGACATTACAGAAAGCATGAAGACCCCAATTACAGCTTCAAAAATTCTGCAGTTAAAAATCAGTATCATCATCATCAAACCTTCCCTTAGTTTTTTTATCTACTAAAGTGCTAATTTTAAAATTATCATACATTTTTAATCACACTAAATAACCCATGTCTATCAAATACAATGTAAGTCAATTATAAATGTCATCTTTACTCCCAACTTTTTTCATTAAAAAAAATTACTGGCACATACACACGAAGTAGAATCATGTTATAATTAATAAGTAAATATGGAGAAATTTTCTGTATTTCATTTTCAAATATAATACATAATAAATATTGAAAATAAATTATGCCAAAAAATGGTTTGTTGACTTAACACTCATTTACTTACATTTTTAGGTACTAGGAATACAGATACATTTTTTGGTAAAAATTAGCATATCATTAAATACTAGATTTGATGGTCTATATGCAAATAACTTATTTCATAAGCACTAACTATATTATTAAATAACTGGAATTCTGAATACTAGACTCCAGAATTATCACAATAGCTGCCAAGATTATCTGCATGTAAATTAAAATCACAAAAAAGAAGAAAAATTAAGTTTTATTTTTTAGAAGTCTAACTCTAAGGATAATAATCAGTAATATTTTACACATTGTTGCCAACTTTATTTTCAGTTTAGAATGTCTGCAACATTTTAAGCCCATCTCTATTAACAAAATTAAGCAATTATATTTTAAAAATACTTTTTATTTGGATAATAGATTTATTGAGTCAATTCTGTTTTAAAGAAGAATTGCCATGATTTTATATCACAGAAAAAAATGTATTTTAAAAATTAAGGAGAGGAAATTGTAGAATAGCCAGACCAGTACATGTCTCCTGGCAAATGACAATAAAACATACTAGGTTTATAAATTAATATAAATAACCCTGATAGTTTGAAACATTACATTTTCATGGCACATTCCACATGTTTTCAAATGACATAAAAAGTCATTTAGAACAAGGAATCAGGATTCATTTGTAATAATCACTTTTTTTTCTTCAAATGTATTAGCTTTTCAAAATTTATAAATAGAAGGATGCATATTTCTGTTCAGGAAAAAAAGCTTCCATGAGACACCATTTTTCAACTTTTCTTTTTAAGTCTACAAGTGTAGACTTCAAAAATTTTCTTTTTAACTCTACACTTGTAGACTTAATCTAAAAAGCATAAATCTAAAAAAACTAAAAGGTGGTAAGCCAGAAGATAGATATAGAATAATCAAAACATCCATAGAAAAATATCTGCACAGAAATCACAAACTCTTAATAAGGAAAGTTTGGCACAACAAATACTTCTAGCCCAATCTTTGGTTAGAAATTCAAACAATAGATTTTTGATCTTCTAAAATTAAGCCATTGATATATTTATATTTAATGTAATGAAGATTATACTACACTAATTAAAATTTATTATAGTTCTGGATTCTACTAATTTAGATTCTTCAATCACTTGCCCTCCCCCTGTCCTCTCCCTCCACAAAATATTCATGCTGATATCTAGACAAAGTAGATTATGATTATACTACTGCCTAGGGAATTCCATTTGAAAAAAATCTATAGAAAACTAAGGGAGAAAATAAAATAGAAGTTCCCGGCTGGGTGGTGGGGGGGTTGTTTTTCCCTGCACTACAAAAAGATGAGAGGGAGTGAGGGTTCCTTCAACAGAGTACAGTGGGAAAAATATATTTAAGAAGTAAGTTAGGGCTCAGGCCTGATGGCTCACGCCTGTAACCCCAGCATTCTGGGAAGTCCAGGCTGGAGGATCACTTGCACTCAGGAGTTCAAGACCAGACTGAGCAAGAGTGACACCCTGTCTCTACGTAAAATAGAAAAAATTAGCAGGGATGGCAGTGCATGCCTGTAGTCCCAAGCTTCTTGGGAGGCTGAGCCAGGCAGATGGCTTGAGACCAGGAGTCTAAGGCTGCTGTGGGCTAGGCTGATGCCCCCCCACACTAGCCCTGCAACAGAGCAAGATTCTGTCCACCCCCTACTAAATAAATATATAAATAAATAAGTTGAGAACAGGCTAGCTGAATAAATAAATTCAATTAAAAAAAACTGTGAAAAGAGAATGTTTGCTTTTGCTGCATTTCAGGAAGAGTAGGTGGAGGAAGCAGGTTAAACAGAAAGATGAAGCCAAGTATTGGAAACTAGCATAGGCCTACCTAGCATGGCCTGATCATGTTATGTACCATGATCTCCATGGTACATAATCCAACGCCCTCTTCATTTGGCTTCAGCTTCTTCATATAAAGAAGGTGAGACTACTAATATGTGTTTCTCTACAACTTCTACACAACAGTCTTAGTTATGTGTACAGTAATGAAAAACAATCTAACTGGCATTAGCTGTAAATGGGCAAAAGACACCTTATTGATGGAAATGTTCTAAACTAGATTGCAGTAATGGTTGCTCAACTCAGGAAATTTACTAAAAATCATTAAATTGTTTGCTTAAAATAGGTGAAGTTAATGGCAAATAAAGTTGTTTAAAAAAACTCACTTCTTTTTATGCCAGTTCTTCTTTAAGAGAAATAAAAGCCCAAATGCCTCCACAGAATATTATTTTTCAATCTATTATACTCCAGTTTGTTCACCATCCTTGTTTAAATGTGGAATAAAAAACTAAACACATTATTTCCAGTGTGCTTGATTTGTACAGAATTAATGGGCTTACTACTAGCTAGATTGGCGTATTTTACTCTGGTAAAATAATATTCATAAATACCTGGAAAATACTCTGTGACAAATACTGCGATAACACAATAACACTCTGGTAGTTTAAGGTTATTTAAACAATCATAACATAGTTTTATTATATAAAATATGAACTAATAAAATGCCTTGATTTTTTATGCCCCAACTTTTAACCCTCAACTGACAAGAAAATTTACTCCCAGATTGTATTTTTTCTAATTTTTTATTTAAAAACTAACATTAATGAAAATTTAAGAAAAGAAAGAGGGAGAACAAAAACCATAGGTCTTATGGCATATTTACATCCAGCATATTTTATGTGAGTGATGCAGTCACATTGGGAAAAAATAATATCTGTTTCTATGGACATCCTTTCCAGGTCCAAGAAATACTCTATTTAATACTCTATTGACAGAGTCGATTACATTACCCTGTTTTAGTCCCCTCTGTTCTCGCCACTATCTGATTATCTTAAATTTGGTTATTTTTTTCATTGTTTACTTTACCTTATTAGAATGTAGTCCCCAAACATACAGGCTCTGTTAACTTTCATTCCCTTGGGAGCTCACCTAGTTCCACAGTTTAAAATTAATTCTACCTATATGCTGACAATTCTCAAAATTATACCTCTAACCCAGACTTTTCAAACTCCTGGCCTCAAGAGATCTCTGGCCTCGGCTTCCCAAAGTATTGGGATTACAGACATGAGCCACCATGCCCAGCCATTCTAACCCAGACTTCTCTCCTGAACTCTAGACTCATATGTATAATGCACAAAGACACATATATACACAATATGCATATGCATGCATCTGTCTCTTTATTCTACACATCCAAAACCAAATTCTGGACTCTACCTATTACCTTACCAATCTTACCCATCTAAAACCTTTCCCATCTCTATTTATGACCAATTCATTCTTAGGCAGTCATCTTTGACTCCTCTCTTTCTCTTACCCTCCACACCCATTCCACCAGCACATTTTGTTGCTTTTGTCTTCAAAATATATCCAGAATCTGACCAACTTCTCTTCATCCTCACTGTTAGCATCTTGGTCAAGTCTTCAATAATTCTCACTGTATTATTGCAGTAGCCTTCAAATAAGTTCCCCTTCTATCATTTTCCCACCCCCATTATAATGTATTCTCATATTTCTGAGTGATCTCTTTAAATATAAGGGAAGTCAGTTCAAACCCCTGCAATATTATTTACTCTTTGTTACCTTTTGTTACCGCTGAACTTCTCTCTTGCTACTTCCTCTTTTGCTCATTCTCACTCAAGTCTTCTGTATTTTCTAAATGTTTTCAATAAGACTGTTTATTAACAAAAAGAAAAGTTTTAAATGATAAAAATATGAGTGAGTGTCATTTTACCCCAATGCTTAGTACAGAATTAAATAACAAGGTCAAGTCTTAGAAGAAAAACAATTTTATGACAAGAGCTTATAGTGCCTTGAATGCCCATATGACTGATGAAGACTTTAAAAAAACAGACGTCTCAAATAATGGTATGGTGCAGTAGAACAAGCCCTGGTTTTGATATTGAAATAGATTCCTTAAACCTTCTATTACTTACTAATTGTGATACCTTAAGTCAATATTCTTTCTGATTCATAGCTTTCTTATGTGTATAGAGGAAGAGTTTAATCTGTGAAACTCATTATAAACTTGGTGCTCTACAACAGAAATGCCTATACATAGCTACCAAAAATACATCTAGTAAGGCTGACTTATTCCTAAAAATGTTATTGAACATTCTAGATTCATCTACATATACAACAAGATGACAGAGAGGCAACCAAAATACTACAAATGTTTGAAGCCTGGTTGAAGACTCAATTTTATACAATTTTAAAAGAAAACGTCGGGGAGGCTGGCATGTTTAGCCTAAGAAGCAAACCCAAAACAGAGAAGTCGGGTGGCTCTCTCTCTAGGAGCTGCAAGGGCAAAGAAGCTAAGGTTTCTAAAAAGAATAGACTTCAAATATTCAGACTGTGTGTATCTACAGCCAAGTTTGGGGTCAGATGGCTCCAGATGACGCGGGGTAGAAATCTGTCAGGACTTAGTTGGGAACTGATCCTGGCTATATAATAAACCACCAGTTAGGAGGGATCGCCTAAGAAAGTTAGACACTAGCTTGTAGTCTCCTCTTCACCTTAGTGGGTCGGTTGTAACAATTTTGCCACCCAACCTGAACCACTCACCGGGTCAATGGGGCTGTAAAGCCTTATGAGTTGGGAACAGGAGGCCCAGACCCGTCACAGTCTGACAAATCGCTAGGTGGCCATCAGCTCCAGAGACCGTTACTAGGGAAACGAGGTCAGGATCAGGGATCACCCCATCCTGGCTTTTCCAGTGCCGGCCAAGGCGCTCTGGGGCGTGGTTACGTGAGTGACGCACGGAAGGGGCGGGGCAGAGACGCCCGGACCAAGGAACGCGTTACATCCCAGGGCGCATGCGTGCTGTGCGGCGGGGGCTATGGCAGCCGTTAGGGCACCTTCAGAAGTGTCTCTGCGAGAAGCCACTCAACGAAAATTGCGGAGGTTTTCGGAATTGAGAGGTAACGAAAAAGGAACCGGAGTTCTCTCGGTTAATGGAGCGGGAGGGTGCTTTACGGGCCAGTAGGTTTTGCTGGACTATCACTTCCTGTCTGCTTCTCACCTGCAGGCTTGGGACCAGGAAGAACTTGCTAATATTGCTTTGGAGTTTTTTATTCTATCCTTCTCCCATCTTTACACTTTGCGTGTTACTTTTAACTTTGTTCCTAGTAGTATAGATTTCAAAATAAGGGAGGAGGAAGGAGAAGAAAGAAAAATTATCTTGACAAGTGAAGTTAGCTTGTTAATAAAGGCTATTTTAAATAAATCTAAAAGATCTGAAGCATAGCGTTTTGACCCTTATAAGTGATTGATTTTATCCTTCCCATACCTACTTCACCAAGTTGTTCGGGGGGAGGGGATAATATAATATGGAGGAATTATGGATTAAAATTAAAAAGGGGAAGTTCTATATCAAAAAACAGGTCCCACCACTTGTCATTCCTGTACAATTGTCTAATAAAAGTGGTTATATATTTGATGCAATGACTGCTTAAAAAATACAAGTGCTAATACTTGGATAACAGTAAAATGTTCAGAACAATTAGATTCTAGCTAACAAGTCCTATTTGTTAACTAATTTAAAAACCCTTACTCATCTTGTTTATCAATAAGAGATTCTAACTGTTTACCAAAAGTGCAGTCCATCTTTTAATGAGCTCATCAGGAAATTGGGACTTTATTATCAAGAATTTTGTCATATTCTAATAGATAAAATTAATATGACAAAATTAGAATTTGTCGTATTAGAATATGAACTTGCGTGTGAGCTTGTATGGCTCGTCTTAAAGTAGTAAACAATAAAGTGCCTACATTTACAAACAACATTATTGAAGGAATGGATCCTTAGATTGAATGTTTCTTAGCCAACAAAGTGGCCCTGAAATAGGAGAATTGATTTTCAAAGCTGGAGATTCAGTTATTTATTTCTTTGTATCCTCTTCTTATTTAAGAATTGAGGTAATAATCTTTGACAAGTTAAAATTAGCTCTCAATCAAGAATCATAGCTCTCAAAATTTGTAAATAAATGGGATTGTAAACCATAAAAGGAGGGTGTAATCTAAAAGAGAGAGAGGAGGAAAAAAAAGTGAGCAATCTCCATTAGAACTATTTTGAATCATACTAATGGGCCATGAATTATTCCCTAATTCTCAAATGCAGAGGATAACATTTTTGAAGATAATAATAAATATTAACCTTTTTTTTTTCTTCTTTCCAAATAGGCAAACATGTAACAGCTAGAGAATTCTGATAATTTTTCTTATTTCCTTGCTTTTTCCAAATAGGCAAACCAGTGGCAGCTGGAGAATTCTGGGACATAGTTGCAATAACAGCAGCTGATGAAAAACAGGAACTGGCTTATAAGCAACAGCTGTCAGTAAAGCTAAAAAGAAAGGAGTTACCCCTTGGAGTTCAATATCACGTTTTTGTTGATCCTGCTGGAGCCAAAATTGGTATGCATTTTATGGCCAGGTTTATAACACAGGTTTTGAGCAGAATAAGCACTGAAGAAAAGCTTCTCTGTGGCTTACAGTTTATAAGCTGCATATCCCCACCCAAGGCCTTTACAAACTTTAAAATTTGAATGTAAATTGACATTTTTTTAAGAAAGATAAAAGTCATAGCAACTGTTCTTACCCATTGTGATTTACTTTGTATACTTCCAGAATGTTATTTAAAAGATAATTTTATTAGTTTAATAAAATTTAGTCAGATAGTGAATATCCCTTTGGACTTTATCAGTAGGGCCCTTAAGGTCACTCCCTACCCCATGATGTCTTCAGAAACTTGCATGAAGAAAGCAAATCAGGCAAAAAATATATATACACTTAGCCTCTTGGGGCCACAACACAGAATGCAAAAGAACACCATCTAATAATAGCTTAAGTATTATATTTATTTTTGAACCCCAGTTTTGGTCAACTTTGCTCTTTGACTTTCCATTGCAAATAAAAATAGATGCTATTTTCCTGAAGGCTGTTTTCCTTGTGATATTTAAAACTGAAGACACTTGATACCAGAGGTAGGGTACCAGTATATGACATGAGCATTGGTCTAATTAGCCAATGATGTTTCAATCCTCACAAATACAAGGTCAGTACTTTTATTATTGCCATTATATAGATGAAATCTGAGACACTGAGACTTAAATAATTTGCCCAAGGTAACTAGTGTGGTGGTTACCATGTTTCCCCGAAAATAAGACCTACCCATAAAATAAGTCCTAGCAGGATTTCTTAGCATTTGTGCAATATAAGCTCTATCCCGAAAATAAGACCTGGTGATGGGCATGGCCCGCATTGGATCTGCACAACCCATGCATTTCGTTGCGGAGCGGTAAAGAAGACGAGCAGCCCTTCTCATCTGCCCCATGAGAGCTCTATTGTTCAACATGAGAGATTGGGGCCAATGGTTCTAAAGGAAATAGAGTCGCAAGAAATTCAGGATGGAATTCAGGGTTTGGAGAGTTATGATGATGTTCCAGAAGAAGAAAACTATATTTGGATAAATGTAGATTGTTGTAAACACATCCCCTGAAAATAAGCCCTAGGGTGTCTTATTAAGGAAAAAAATATATAAGACCCTGTCTTATTTTGGGGGAAACATGGTATATTTAAGATGATTATTGGAAAACCAGGTTCTAAAACTCTCTTTAAAAAGGAAATCCAACTTGTATCTTCAGTTATGTCGTGTGAGAGAATTATTTAAGTGGACGTTGTGGTGTGTAACTCCATATGAATCTTTATACTTAACAGTCTTCTAGTGTTATACATTGTGTAATTCGTCATTCCTTCTGTTTTTGTTACTGTTTTTGAGAGAATATTCGTCATTTATTATTGAGGTCTGCTCTCTGGGTTTCATTACTAATCGTTCATTTGCTATGGGATGTATTTAATTTTATTCTTTTGCCAATACTTTTTGTGTCTGTCTCCCTAGTTAATTATACCCCAAAACCATAGCCTTAAAGTTGTAACTTTTAAATTTACTGTCATTACAAAGTTTTATTAGGTTTCTGTGAAATAAACTGTGCTTTTTAACTTTAAGGAAATGGAGGATCAACACTTTGTGCCCTTCGATGTTTGGAAAAGCTGTATGGAGATAAATGGACTTCTTTTACCATCCTATTAATTCACTCTGGTAAAGTTATACTTTACTAATTTACATTTTCTTTTGAGTATTCCACCTCTGATACCTTAGGGACTTTTTTCTCCCTTGCAAATACTTTACTCTTCTTCTTTTTTTTTTTTTTTATTCTTTGAAGTTACTCTGCTTTGAAAAATATTTCATGCTTTTCTTGGTATCATTAGGTATAAGTTGCATAGTGATTTTCACAAAATTTATCCTTAAAATTGTAAATCACATATATCATCAACTTTTCATGGACATTGTTTTGTTTTGGTATACATATAGAAAATTATTTCCCAAAGACAGAATTCATTCAAATGTGAACATATCTTAGGAATTGCTTTAGAGGGGATTCTTGCTTCAGGAGAGAGGGGTGATTTAGCACTGTTGTTACTAGTCTTTGCCTAAACTTTCTGTCTTGCATTTTTGTCTGATTATTGGTAGCCAAAGGCTAGATTGCTTAAAAGAATTTTAGAAATAAAAGGAAATAGTGGCAAGGTATGGAGTTGACAAGTAAGTATATGAGGGGGAAATATACGCACAAAAGATGACATTTTAAAACAGAACAATTGGAAGGACATAATCTCAGAATATGGACAATTAAATACATTTAGTTTTATGAAAATTTTGGTTACATGAAAACCTCTGTTATTTTTCTCTATATGCTAGAGGCCTGGTGAAAACTTTGTCGTGGACTGACACCAGTCAGGGGGCAGATATTTTAGAACTCATCTACATGGCTTCCAAGGCACTTTCCAGTTCTTAAGATTCATATACAAAACAATGATTTTTTTGTAAAAATGGTATGAAAGTAAAGCATCTGAGTTCTGGTATTAAAATGAAAAATGTAAAAAAAATTCTGATTTATGATTTTATAATAATTTTATTATTATTACCAGTTTAGTAAAAATTAGACACCAGAAAACACATAGTTAGAATAGGTAATTCTTACGGTGCTAAACTTTACTATTGCCTAGTCTTTGAAAAAAGAAAAACAGAAGTTATTATTAGCTATCATTTGTTGAGCAATGTGCAATGTGCCAAGTACTTATTATTGAGCTTATGAAAGCATTTTTGATGCAATACCTTCCGATGGTAAGTAGTATTCTACATTTGTTGATTTGTAATAAATCCAAAGATAAACAACTAAAAAGTGGTGAATAAGGTTTGACCTCATTTTTGTCTAACTCTTTCTTCTATGTAAGGCTGCTTATCACTATAATTACATAAAAATTATAGAAGATACTTGATATACTTAAGAGAACATACTTTTCAAGGAATTAAGAAGTTATAAGGCTCATTTTAGAAGGGAAAAATCTGTTTAGATTAAAAACAAGTATACATTTTAAAATGCTTTTAGATTTACTGTCTTTAAGTATAGAAAATAATTTGAGAAATGATACTGCAACTAGAATTTAGTGTTTAATAGATAATTGCATATTCATGTGTGGCTTAATAACAGACATACATTCTGAAAAATGCATTGTTAGGTGATTTTGTCCATGTGTGAACATGAGAGTAGTTACACAAACATATGTGGTATATAGCCAATTGCTCCTAGGCTACAAACCTATACAGCATGTTATTGTACTATAGGCAATTGTAACATGATTATATTTGTGTATATAAACATATCTAAACATAGAAAAGATATAGTAAAAATACCATATAAAAGAAAAAATGATACATCTATATAGGGCACTTACCATGAATGATGCTTGCAGGACTAGACATTGCTATGGGTAAGTCAGTAGTTAGTGGTGAGTGAATGGGAAGGCCCAGGACATTATACCACTATTAACTTTATAAACACTATACACTTAGGCTACACTAAGTTTATTTAAGAATATTTTCTTTCTTCAATAATAGATTAGTCTTAGCTTACTATAACTTCTTTACTTTATAAACTTTTAATTTTTTTAAGTTATTAAGTCTTTTTTAATAACATTTAGCTTAAAACACAAACATTGTACAGCGGTACAAAATATTTTCTTTATATCCTTAGTTTTTATTTTTACTTCTTAAACTTTCTGATTAAAAACTAACACTCAAACATACATTATCCTAGGCCTACACAGGGTCAGAATCATCAATATCACTGTCTTCCTCCAGCACATCTTGTCCCACCTGACTTTAGGGGCAATAACACACATGGAGTTGTCATCTCCTATGATAACAATGCCTTCTTCTATAATACTTCCTGAAGGACCTGCCTGAGGTTATTTTACAGCTAACTGTTTTTAATAAGTAGAAAGAATATACCAAAATAGCAATAAAAAGTATAGCATAGTAAATATATAAACCAATAACATAGTCATTTATTATCAAGTGTTATATAATATACTAATTGTATGTGTGATAGTTTTATATGACTGAGAGTGCAGTAGGTTTTTTTAAACCAGCATCACTGTAAGCACAAGATGTGTTACTACTGCTATGATGTCTAGGTGACAGGAATTTTTCAGCTACATTGTACTCTTATGGGACCAACATAATATATGCTGTCCATTGTTGAATGAAACATTGTTGTGCAGTATATGACTATATTTTGGAATTGGCATATTCATTTTTTGTAACTTTCCCTATGAAGTGGATTCTTAATATAGGAGTCTGATATGGTTGAAGTTTACTGTTTAAAATGTAGATGCATGATCATGTTTTAGCCCATGGTCCTTTTTGTTTGTTATACATTTGATTCAAAACAATTCACAGGTGGTACAGTATATTAGAATTTGTTCTTAACCTGGAATTTTTAAGACTGCATTATATCAAATAGCTACAGGAGATTGTACTTTGAATTTTTAATCTGGATTGCATTATTCTTTACTGAGTTACAGTAACATATTGTATACATTAAATATCTTTAGAGATATTTTGACTTGTAAATGGTACCCTTGGGTTTTGAAAATCTTATAAACAATAACACATTTTTTAAATGGCAATTTTGTTTAATTTTATAGGTGGCTACAGTCAACGCCTTCCAAATGCAAGTGCTCTGGGGAAAATTTTCACAGCTTTGCCTCTTGGTAACCCCATTTATCAGATGTTGGAATTAAAATTAGCCATGTACATTGATTTTCCCTCACATATGAATCCTGGGATTCTGGTTACCTGTGCAGATGATATTGAACTTTATAGTATTGGAGAATCTGAGTTTATAAGGTTTGATAAACCTGGCTTTACTGCTTTAGCTCATCCTTCGAGTTTGACTGTAGGTACCACACATGGAGTATTTGTCTTTGATCCTTTTGATTATTTAGAATATAGAGACCTTGAATACAGGTCTTGCTATCGTTTCCTCCACAAACCCAGTGTAGAAAAGATGTATCAATTTAATGCTGTGTGTAGAAGTGGGGGTTTTTGTCAACAGGACTTTGTTGGGGGTGACACTGCCTATGTTAAATTAGACTCTGACTTTGTTTACACAGACAGCCTATTTTACATGGATCATGCATCAGCAAATAAATTACTTGCTTTTTATAAAAAAATAGGCACACTGAACTGTGAAATAGATGCCTATGGTGACTTTCTGCAGGCTTTAGGACCTGGAGCAACTGTGGAGTACACCAGAAACACATCAAATGTTACTAAAGAGGAGTCAGACTTGGTAGATATGAGGCAGAGAATATTTCATCTTCTTAAAGGAACATCACTAAATGTTGTTGTTCTTAATAACTCCAAATTTTACCACATTGGGACAACTGAAGAATATTTGTTTCATTTTACTTCAGATAGCAGTTTAAAGTCAGAGCTTGGCTTACAGTCCATAATTTTTAGCGTCTTTCCAGACACACCAGAATGTTCTGGTAAAACATCCTGTATCCTTCAAAGTATACTGGATTCAAGATGTTCTCTGGCACCTGGCTCAGTTGTGGAATATTCCAGATTGGAACCCGATGTTACAGTTGGGGAAAACTGCATTATTAGCGGTTCTTACATCATAACAAAAGCTGCCCTGCCTGCATATTCTTTTGTGTGTTCCTTAAGCTTGAAGATGAATGGATGCCTAAAGTATTCAACTATGGCATTTGGAGTGCAAGACGACTTGAAAAAGAATGTTAAAACACTGTCAGATGTAAAGTTACTTCAATTCTTTGGAGTCTGTTTTCTGTCGTGCTTAGATATTTGGAATCTTGAAGTTACAGAGGAACTGTTCTCTGGAAACAAGACATGTCTAAGTTTGTGGACTGCTCGCATTTTCCCAGTTTGTTCTTCTTTGAGTGATTCAGTTACAACATCCCTAAAGATGTTAAATGCTATTCAGAACAAGTCAGCATTCAGCCTGAAGAGCTATAAGCTGCTATCTATTGAAGAAATGCTTATCTACAAAGATATAGAAGACATGATAGCTTATAGGGAGCAAATTTTTCTAGAAATTAGTTTAAATAAAAAGCAATTTGATTTAAAGATATCTTAAATATTGTATACTTTGCCTTTCTTTAAGCAAGATTCCAAATACAGTCATTTTCTGTAGACTTTTTTTTGGATTGTTTCATTGAAGTGAATTAATAAAAATTGTATTAACATAATTGCTGAAGCATGTAGCGTAACAACACAAAAATACAAATGAACATTTTTTGATGGAAGAATATTTCAAGACTTTAAGTTCAGAAAAGAGAGACTTTTTAATGTTTATCACTTTCAATTTTTTTAATGATGGATTTGTGGAGCATTGTTTTTTTCACATCAATACTCTAGCAGGTTAAAAGGAAATTTTTCTAAATACACATTAAGAATTTTTCTACCTTCTTTTGGACTTTGGTGCCAATAAAATTTTAAGTATTTATTGACAATTATCTCCTTAAATATCAGCCTATGTTGATAAATCAATAAAAATGGCCTTTCTAGGGTCTTCAGAGTACTGTAGGAATACTATAGAAATAATTTTTCAGAAACAAATCTATAGCTGGCAAATTCAGGTTAAATCAATACTTAATGTTTTATGATTATTTTAGTTGATAACTACATACAAAGAGCTATAAAATTGATGATAAAAATTTGTATCTCATTTATTGATCTTATCAAAATAAAACAAAGTATGTATATACCCGTACATGTGTTTGCATATCTTTTAAATTTTCCCTAAATCTCTATTCCATAGGAAAACCAAAACGTACACACACAAAACTCAAGTTATATATGGAGAAGATGGTAGGAATAATTGAGTTTGTGGACTGCTCACATTTTCCCAGTTTGTTCTTTGAGTGGTTAAGTTACAAGAGACCTAAAACATGTTAAATGCTCTTTAGAATAAGTCAACATTTAGCCTGAATAGCTATAAACTGCTGTCTATTGAAGAAATGCTTATCTACAAAGATATAGAAGACATGATAGCTTATAGGGAGCAAATTTTTCTAGAAATTTGTTTAAATTAAAAAGCAATTTAATGAGATTAATTTAATGACACTGTGGACATTACGTTCATCATCTTCTATTAATCCCTCTAACAGAACTGTTAAATTGCCAGATGGACTGATTTAACTTTCCATTTCTTATTTTCTGTCCACACACTGGTGTTACTGAGAAGCAATAATTGGCCAAAAGGTAGACAGCAGGAGGAAGGCAAAATAGAAAAACTGACATAATACACACATGATTAAACAGCTTCAAAAGATAAAATTGGCTGGAATCCCAAGTTATATGTTCCTACTTTGTTATGAGCATGTAAGTAAAATGTCTTCACATCAAAATCTAATAATTAATTAGAGATGACATTTGTCAGAGTTTTTGGTTTTAAATTAAAATGAATAAAATAAGAACAGATCTGTGCCACTTATTTTTATATTAACATGTCAATATAAAAATAATTGGCAAACTAGAAGTGACTTGTCTGCAACCCCTCAATCATGGTACGTGTGTTTCCTTTTTACAAGGTTCTTCCCAAGGAAAAAATAAAAGTATAGTAGTAGTTATTGTTTAACATTTATTGGTTTACTTGCATAGCTTTCAGAGGATGTTATGTATTTGCCATTCATTAAATGTTTAATATCGTAATTATACCTAATCCGAAGTGCCGTCAGTTATAAGAATCGCCGTTATTTTATGTTCTAAGAAAACACTAACAATAAAATGACACAGCACTCTTTGTTACTTGAAATATTTATATTCATTGGAGATCTTTTAGATGCATTTAAATGTAGATTTTTATCATTTAACTCTTGCAGACACATATAAGATAACAAAATGAAATATTGAGATATCATCAAGACATTTCTAACAGCTTCACATTCTTCCTGACTCTTTGGAAGAGTCAAATTCTTCCAAAGCACTTTCATCACAGGGTTGTTGATATCCTGTATCCACCCAGTACCATCTTCTGTGCTATCAAAGTTACTGATAAGGCTGCATTTCCTAGGAGTGTCCCACTGCACTACCATCTGGGTTTTTTGCCAAGCTTCAGAGCCTGTTCTGCAAGTTTGATGCTGATGTTTTACTCTGACAAAACTCAGTTTCATTTCCTGTTTAATCACATGTCCCTAGAAGGTAGGTAGCTTCTATTCAAAGTTAGCAGGAGATTTCACTGATTGATGTCTTGTTAACATGTGACAGTATGAAAATAATTGGTAAGCCAGAGTGACTTGTCTGCAACCCTCAATTATGATATATTGATAGTGTGTGCGTGCGCGCACATGTGTTTTCTTTTTTCAAGATTCTTCCCAGGAGGAAAATCTTTGGTGGCTATTGTTTTGCTGTTTAACATTTATTCATTTACTTGCAGAGCTTTCAGAGGATGTTGTGTGTTTGAGCATTAAATGCTCAATACTGTATTTCACTTAATAATAATATTTCACAATGCATGGATTCTAGTTGCTTTGAAATGGTATCCGTTCAAATGATTTACCAGTATCTTTGGCTTGAGATGTATTGTTTGGTGTGTAGTAGCACATATGTACCACCAACAGTGTACATAACTGAAGTAACAATCACATGCACAGCTATGACCAAGTTCACATATTAGCAGATAACTCCATGACTATTGCTGCCTGGCTAATAGTTATTATAAAACACTATCAGTTGTAAGGCACATTCTATTTCAGGGATGTTGAAATATAGAGAGAAAAGGTGACTTAGGAAATGAGTCTAAGTGTGTGTTTTATTAAAAGGGTCTAGGAAAAAGAAGCAAATCATTCTTAAATTCAATTGCTGAGAGGAGTGTACATGACGGTGAGAAGAAAAGTATTTTTGATAAGAAATGACTACGTTCACTTAGCCTCCCAATAAAAATTCAGTTTTTTCTTTTCTGAATTTTATCGGCAATAAAAAAGTAAAGCCTGCATGTATAACTTTGAAATTAAACATTTTCTCTTGATTTATAATTTTTATTTTAGAAAATCATAGTATTTAAATCTTATATCCTCAGGTTTATAAAAGTCTCTTATTGTTTGTAACTATATTTCATAACCTTATTAATGAGTTAATTATTACTTAGAAGGGCATGGAAAAAAATCCAGCATTTGGTAATAATCTTGTACCATTTATTCTCTAAGAAAATAAAGAGTATCAGTGTATACTGAGTTGAAATAAAGCTTCAAAAATTCAAATGATACACTGGGAATGGCAAAAAATTGATGGCATGAATTCAGGGTTAAATTCCACAAACTGTGGTGATCTATTCATCTTCTGCAGTTAAGCATTACTCCCAATGGTATACAAAGATTACCAAATTCAGCAATAGAGGCAAAATCAACTTTGCCTGCTGTAAAATGTAGGCATGGCTGTTACATGTAGCCATTCAGTACATTGCACAAAATCAGAGACACCATCCACATATACCACGATGCCCTCTGGACTTGAACAACTTGAAGGCTCAGAATTAAGACACTCCAATATAGTCTAGTCGATGTCTAAGATAGAAAAAGTGGAAAAGTGTTACTAATATGCTCAAAACTATCTAAAGGATTTCTGATGCTCTTTCTGTTGTTCAACTAATAAAACCAACTCTTTATCTGGGTCAAACACTAAATTCTTCTTATTAAAGACCTTTTAAATTTACTTAGTGCGAGAGAAATGATTGAAACAACCATTATCCACTCAAGTTTTACTTGAATCTTCTGTGCCTATAAAATTTCTGTTAAGGTTAAGGAACACAACTTCTATTGTTTATATTCAGTGAAACCGTATTATTAATATTCCTTATATTGATCTTTGTCATGGGTTGGTTTACATTTTCCTTCCCTCCATTACCAATGTGCCAAACGTATATATAACATACTAGTGTTCTTCCTGCTCCATTTGTTGGTATACACAGAAATTTCTGATTATGTTTTTTATATACAGTGAAAGATGAGTTACACCAGTCTGGTTGGAGAATACCACTTTTGTCCCTGGAAGAGACATGAGCTACAGCAAACCAAACTTGCCATGTCATTCAAACTTGCCAATTTGTCTGTTATTTAGTAAACCACAGTTTTGGGTTTGGTTAAAATTTGGGGTAAAGAAATAATAAAAGCTGCTGATTTTCTACCACATTTGTATTTGGAGGATTGGAGTAGGGAGAGGGAAGATGCCTGTGAATTAGTCACATTATCCACCTGTAAAGCAGCTTGATTATTGACATTTTGTGTCTAAGATGTCATCTTAATGGTATTTTTGTCCATACAAGTAAGTGATTGAAACTAACAGTTAATGTTTTCTTCTGGACTGGTTGGACAAATAGTCTATTTTTTTGAAGCCTCTGGCTGCGAGGATCTCTTAGCCATCTAATCTATAAATTTCAACCATTCAAACAGAGCAATTCATTTCTGAATTGCTGCAGACTGGTGCAATCCATCTGCTAGTGTCATTTCCTAGCTATCTGTGCCAGAATTATACTCTTCAATTGTGCTTCAATGCATTGCCAAAGTAATCTAAACTATAATATCTATATTCTTTGGATACTGTTTTATGATGTGTTACTGATCTGCTTGTTGAATCTCCAACATCCTTAAAGGCTTTGAACATTCTGCTACAACCAATACATTGTGGCTAAGGAATCTGTATATGTGAATGATTTTTTTTTAATTTCTTTTCTTTACCAGAACCACTCTTTGCAGAACATTCAGATGGTTCGAGTTAGTTTTAATTTACCACTTCCTTGTAGGAGAGTGTTACATTGCTCAGAATAGAATTAAAGCATTTACATCTTGAGGCAAAAATCATTTAAAACACAACTCTGTTAAAGTTAAGTGTTCATTTCTTTTGCAGGTTGAGAAATATTGCATTGCTCAATGAAGTTTTACGTGATTGGTTTCTTTCTTATTATTTTTAGCCTTTGGGTTTGAGACAGTAAATTATATCCACCAATATGTTGTTCTTCAGAGAATTTTCAAACATTTTTAGGAAAACCTAGAACTAGGAGACTTTGACTACATAAAGAAATAATCATGATCATAACAAGTCTTGCAGGTGCAAATTTAAATGTATAAGCACACTGACAAGGTCACAAATTAACTTATGAAATTCAATATATATCACTGGGATCAATTTTTAATGAAATGTAATAAGAAAGATCATTACTCATGATAATTGGTTAAAGTTGATAGAGCTTCTAATTAGCCATTATCCAATCAAACCAAGAGCTGCTTATGGAAGCAAGCATATTAGGAGGGAGAAAGTGGAGTTTTAGAGAAATTATTTTTTACCTTTTACAGCTGCTAATGCTTAAAAACAAAACAAATATTCACCATGCTTTCAGTATTAAAGGAGCAATTTGTGAAATTATTCATGTTTCCTGTATCTTCAATTTATATCTCTACTATAAACATGCTGTAATTTTCCATAACAAAAATATAAAGGCAACAACAAAAACAAAAATTCTCTAGTCACAGTTTCATCAGGATATAGTCTTTTTATATGTTTTATTTGCAATGTTTTTGATGTTGTCTCTGCTAGCCATCATAATATATCCAATATTGCCACCTGCTTCATATTACTAGTGGGAAAAATTAAATAGGTATCTCCACTTAGAGATCCCTAATCTTCCCTCTACTTATCAAGATGATCTTTTCCATCTAGATAAATGACCCAACCATCTACCAAATTGCTCAAGGAAAAAACCTAGAAGTCATCCATCCCTCTGCAGATATTTTCCTTCCTCTTTTTTATCCAGTTCTTCAGCAAGTGCAGTCTATACATTAAAAACACAACCAAAATCCCTCTAATTCTTTCAACGCTTTCTGAGCTACTACTGTTTGCAAAGCTAATGCAAAAGGCTTTATTTTTTTCAATTATATAACCCTTTCTTATACGCAGTAACATATTTCTAATTGTGCATGCAGGCAAAGTTGCAGAAAGACAGCAATAGAAATATATTCTAAAACAATGGCATTTAGTTGTATTGAGCATTGAGAGGAAAAGCAAAATTGTGGCCATCTCAGTCTTGCTTTACTGATTCAGTCTGTTTTTATATCCCATTTTGCTCCTGTGAAGACTGCCTTTTAGGATGATGATTCATGCCATAATACTTCCTAACATTCTATACTTTTTGTTTTTTCCTTAAAATTTTGCCTGGTAATAGTCTGCAATCTCTTTACCACACACATCACTGGTTTTTGTTCTTTGTTTTTTTTCATTTTACCTTTTTCATATTTACTATGTGTAACCAGATGTCATCTGGAATTTTGCTTCCCCTTTAGTTGTAGGCAATATTGCTCAAGCTCTATTGCAAATGCTATAGATCTCCAAAACTTTTCCCAGATATCTGTGAAATTCCTGGAGCTCATGTATCTTCACAATATCCTTTGGCTATAAGCTTCCATTTCTGATAAGTTAATTCTGTTTGGGCTTGTATGTGATTTTTCTCTATGAGTTAAATGCCTATTTTTCACTTAGTCTCAAATTTTCCTCTTTCCCACATCTACCAAATCACCCCACTCCCTCTAGGGGAAAAAAAAAAAGCCCTTCTCACACAATTTATATGTGTGTAGCAAATTCTCTGACTAATTGGGGCTATGGAGGAAGGGTAGAAGTTAATAGAAGGATATAAGAGCAATGAGAACACAACATTGAATAATAGTTGTTCTTAGAAATTCTTCGATGTCTCATCACCAAGAATTTCTTCACTATTTTGTTGTGATCAAAATTTATCTCTGACAACTCTTTTTCTCCTTCCCTAACCAACCCCTATCCCCTCACTGTATATGTGCACACCATCTAGATTTATCTCTGGGAACTTGTATGTTTCTCATTCTAATATGTTGCCCAGTTCTGCTCTCTTAAGACCCTATATCAAACAGTGGGCTGATTTTCACATATCCAGACACACCAGGATACTGGACAGAATCAAAGGGCTTTTTATTATCAAGATCCACTTTTATTAGAAGGTTTTAGTTTCCTGTTATATAGCTGCTTTCTTTAACTTTGAAAGTTGGATATAAGGGAGAAGAAAAACCCAAACGTGCCTCTGTTATTAGTGGCTGATTGGTCACAAATCATTATTACAACCCTTTTCTCTGTAGTATCCTCTGCTGCTTGTTATTGGACCATGATTCCTATAGTGATGACAGGACCTTAAGCTGAACTTAACACTATGAATAATAGATGAAGATAACTTTAGTCTATAATAATATGAGAGCTTACTTTTATCAACTGAGTTTGAGACATTCTGTTGCCTACTCCTGTGATGTAAGAATATGCTATAAAACTTAGTAGTCTTTTCTCTGTCTTTGCTGTAGTATACCAGTGCTCTAGGAAGGATACAATTTCTGAAGTGGGAATATACTAGATGATTTCTGAGTTTACTTATCTTCAAACAAGTATATATTTTGAGTTTTCCAAAACACCATAATTTAAAAATAATGGCCATTGAAATGTGGCAATTTATTTGTAACTTTACACTCTTATCAACAAAGCTACCACTTCAGCAATTCTCTCTTCTTTTTCTTGTATCATTAGTTTCCTTTACTGGAGGGAAATTCTCAACAGCACACAAATCCTCTGTTATTTTTCCAATTAAAAAACAAAAATAATTCTTGACCCCACTTCCTTCAACTATTACTGTCTTTGTTCTCTTTATGCTAAAATTCCTATAATATATTATCTGTGCTTCTATTCTCTAGTTCCTATCCTTCTATTCATTCTTCAACCCAATTCCACCTTTTAGCCCCCATCTCCACCATCATTATACCCCTGAATTTGTTCTTCTGAAGATCTGTTTTTCTAAATCCAGTGGACATTCTCATTTTTTATGCCCTTTCAACAGCATTTGCCTCAACTAATCTCTTCTTTGACATACATTCTTTACTTGGCTTCAAGCAACCCCACATAACTGATTCTTTTCCTAACTCTTTGGTTATTCTTTTTAAGTTTCTTTAACTGATTTCTCCTCATCATCCTTACTTCTTATCACTAGAAGATTACAGGTGTTTGTGTTTAGAATTCTCTACCCACATTCACTCCTTTGGGATATCATCTGTTGTCATAGCATCTATGTGCTATCAATTCTCAAATCTATATATCTAATTAGCAAAGTGTAACTCAAAAATGTTAAAAATATAATTGTCCTATAAATTATGAACATGTGTCTAAATTTTATTTAATTAATAAATGAAGAAACCAAGAGAATGATGAAGTTGGTTTTATGTTGTTCCAGATCTTGCAAGGAAGAAAATTTATACACAACATTATAAAAAACTTTGCTCAATAATAGAGTAGGTTTCCTTATGAGATAATACGCTTCTTAATGACCAGAATTGTTTAAGCTAAGAGACTTAAAGACCACTTCCCAAGAGTTTTTCTAAGAAGCTTTTGTTTTAGCTAAAAGATAGGATTACATTATGGCTGCAGGCAGGGTTTCCTGGAAAGTGGAATCTGAGATGCAGTTTACAATGCAAAATATTTCTTAATGAGTGCTTTTAGGATAAATACTTGTACAAGAAAGGGGACAGAGCAAGATGAGCAGAAGAGAGAAGTCAAGTCGAGATTCAAGCCCAATGACAGCCTTAATTGGCTGATCCTAAGAGGAGTTCTGATATTAGAATGGCACTTCACTGTTGTCCCAAGTTGGACATGAGTGGACAGGATTTATACAACATATCAACCATGCTTTCCCAGGTGCCCAATTGATATGGGAACCTGGGAAAGGAGTACCATGGACAAGATAGGTCTCTGTGATTGAGGCAATCTGTGAAAGGTACTGACAGCTAAAGGCAGTACTCCAAAGTAACAAGCCCTTCATTGAAGAAGGATCTGAGTGCCTCATCACAATGCCTACCACAATAATGCATAAAGTCCAACCCAATGTCAGGATTCCCTTTTTATATGAAACTATTTTAATAAAATATTGTATGTTCTAGTTCAAGTTGAATTATGATTTCTAAACTAATCATACAATATTACACATATTTTAAGTGGGCTCAATCCATGAAGAAAGAAACTATACTTTAGTAAATGTGTCAATCATTGATTTAGATAAACAATTTTTTATAATACTGTCACAAATCTACATGATAATCCCTAGTGCCAGATTTTACTTTTGACTAGCTGAGCAAGCTAAAATATTCATAAATTCACATGAAACCAGATGGCTTCCCACTGAATATGCATTTGAACAACTCCTGTACATTATTTATCCCAAGAAGTGCACAAAATATACCATCATCATACCAGAGACTCCTAATAAGTTTGTTTCAGAAAAAGTCAAGGAATTACAGGTGTTTAATACTAATCATATTTTGCATTGACCTTTGATTCCAGCTTTGTATTTGAGAATTACAAACAGCAAAATAAATATAGTTACTTTATGTTAGTTTCTGAAATATCAGAAATCTGAAATAAGGTTTTGCAAGAATGGCTAGTGTTTGGAAAAGAAGAGAATTTAACTTTGCAGACATGATTTTTTAATAATTTGCTTAAGTCTCTAAAAATTCAAATATATAACACAAAATGTTAACTGTTTTTTATTAAGTTGATCAATATATTTTGAGGGTATATATTTTTTTCTTCAGGTTGAAATCACCAATGTGAATTTGAAATGAAAACATAATTTAACCAATGAATGTTTCTTCTCCAACATAATTTGAGAAAGAATAAATGATAATATTTTTTCTTATTTTTTAAGTCATAGAGTTTTCCTTTTATTTACATTTGCTATGTCACATTTTAAAGTTTCCTATTCTCTGGAACTATATATCATTGCCAATATGCCATTGCCATCTCTCTCTCTCTCTTTCTTTAAAATGCGGTAAGTAAACACTGTTGTTTCATAAACAGTATATGATAATTCCACTATCTGAAGTCACAGTAGGTTTGCTTCTGATGCTTAATTTTCAGGACATGTTGCTATTCTTTCTTGTATATTTGATTAACTTTGTTTGTTGGTCATTGTCCTTGCCAAAGTATCTGTAAAGGTTTCCCATGGCCTAAAATGGACTCTCCAACAGAGGCTTTGCATTTGCTTCTATCAGGAGACCAGAGAAGCCTTGCTACTTGAGATCAACCTCTGGCTACGTTCAAAACCGAAGTTCTCTGGCCCTCCAGCCTCTGTATACTAGGGCTGCGGTCCCCAGCCCCCATGCCAAGGACCGGTACAGGTCTGTGGCCTGTTAGATAGGACAGAGCCACAGAGCTCTTCCTCATGCCCTCCCCCACTCCTCCATAAAACTTAGGAAGGTTAGGGGCACATAGAAAAAAATCTGCATTTGTATTTACTGCCGCTGCCACTGCCATTTCCCATCTCTGGCATCACCGTTTGAGTTCCGTAATACCACTCCCCCATCCTCCTCCCCACCCTAAAAATTGTCTAAATTGTCCTCTATGAAACTGGTCCCTGTCTCCAAAAAAGTTTGGGGATCACTGCCTAGGGGGCAAATCCATAGCGAGCATATTTATGGCCATAATTACCCAAGGACCTTATTCTACTTTTATTTCTTTTTGCTCTGCTCAACAGCAAGAGCTGTTTTACAATTCATTTGGTTTGGAATAAAGAATGACAGGTTTATTTCTAGTTGATTCTTATCTTAAGGCATATTGGGGGAGGTTCAGGTTAATGTGTCAAAGATCCCCTCTAAGAATCCCCAACCTGAGGTGGAGCCCTGGACTGCCCTCTAATGTGTTCGAACTTAAGTCCAAATGTGATTTTTTGGCAAATTCCTCAGGGAAAAAACTTATTCCATACTCCACTTACATTTCTGAGTTCAAGCTTTTCTCTAAAATGGCTTGTGTATACCACTTTATTGTTTTTAGTTCTTCAATGTCTTTGTGTTTTTAGTTCTTCAATGTCTTTATATTTTACTTAGCATTTAAAAATCAGTCCACTATTCTTTTTTATATGAATCATCAACTATAATTTTGTATTATTTCATTGACTTATTATTCAACATTTTCCCTAATGATGGTATATTTTTATTAGTAGAGGGGATGTTATATTGGTGGAGGGGGAAGTACTAGTAGTGGTATATTTTTATAATGGATGTTACGGTTATAGACTATAATGATCATGGAAAAAGTAAAAGGGCAGATAAGGTAAACATCCTGATCCTCAACATATCACATCATATAAAGTCCACATCATATAAAGTCTACATCGTATAAAGTCCACATCATATAAAGCACATGATGGAGTAGTCAACTTAGCATTGAGCATAATACTTGCTACAGAGATGATAAACCACTTTAAATCTCTTACAGAGGAAGTCAGAGCAAATATAAGCACACAAAAAGTATGTTAAATGTTTTTTTTTAAAATTAGAAAGTGAATCTACATAATTCTTTCAAAAGTAAGGTCATTGTTTAGAATGGATAAATCAGATCACTGTTTTACACTGACTTCAAATTATCAAATATATACTGAAGTTTAAT